GCTGAATACAGAAACCAGATTTTTAAATAATATGAAATAAATACTTTAATTCATTTTTAAGAGGTATAAAGATTTGTAGGTCTTATGATTTCAGTTTAAACTATATAAAAGTAAGTGATTTCTATACTTAGAGCATATGACACCTAAAGTAGGACTTTGGTAACTCAGCTTTTGTGTATCACACTGTGCATCACACTCAGCATCACACTGTGTATCCTATAAATGTTATATAGAAAGCAATTTGGGCCCAGTGTAAAGAAGTTGTTAGTTGTAGCCATGGTTTATGATCAAAATAAATGGTAAGCTGCAACTGTTACAACCTATATCATAGTTCAAAGAGCAGTGGCAAACTGTAACTTCAGCAACCAATCAAAAAGCTGATTTCTCAGTCTGGTTGCCACACTTTACTGCACAATATTGTAGCTGCAATACATTACTAAGCCAAATATGAAAAGGAACAAGAGAACAGATCCTCAGGTATGTGTTGAGAAGATGAGTCTCATCTATATTTGCAAGTATTTTACACCAGAACGTAGTTACCAACTATTTTTTTTGTTTGTAGAAATGAAAGGTCTTATAGATGTGTCTCTTAAAATTTTCAGGCTCACTGTTTGTCAAATGAAAAGTACAATGGCTACATGATGAGCCATTTTGCATCCCCTGAAGAAAACAATTCTTGTTCTTGCACACCTGTGTGGCTGTGCTATGCATATTGGATTGCAACCTTTCATGCTGATAATTTTGCTATGTACTCTTTTAGATGCTGCATAATATGTTGTTGCTACATAAATATAGTTAATGACCTAGCTCTGTATAATTCTACAAACAATCTTTAATCCAGGCAACAAAAGCTGATTGAGGAACAGTAGCACACACCATAAGTAATACAATGTTATATAAGTTCAAAAAGTATGTCACTGTTAAAACACATAAATCTCACATGAGTCTACTAGGGCAACGCTATTTTAAAATACTTTTGTACACTGATTTAAAAAGACAAAAGTATATCAAATTATTTTAGTATGATGGGAACGCTATCCTAAAACATTTATTCACACTTGCTTGCACCACATCTTTACCAGAGTAGAACACAGATATTTCATCTGACTTGCAAAAGTATGCCTGTTCCAGAAAATTTGGAGAAACTAGAAACAGTGTTAAAGAGGTTTTGTGTTTTAGACATAGGTACATACAGAGTGCGGTAGATTTTGCTGCTGCTGTTTTATGCTGTTTAGTGCTAACTCCTAGAGTACATGCTAATTAAATCTTTATATGTACTTGCAGCATTTTGTATTCACCCTGGAAAAGCTAAATAAAGATTTATGCAGTGCAGTCTGGCTGAAACAGTTACCCATTTCTGGCAGGTAGTTTGTGCAAGAGAAGAGCATAGGAGGTATTACAGTGGGCAACAAGCGCAGGAGAGGGTGTGGGTGGTATGATAGAGGGTAGTATTTGCTAGAGAAGAGTGAGGAAGGTACAAAAGTGGGCAGTATATGCAAGGAAAATGAGTGTGGAGGGTATGACAGTGGGCAGTATGTGCAGGGGAGGAGTGTGGAGGGTATGACAGCAGGCAGTATTTGCAGGAGAGGAGTGCAGAAGGTATTACAGTGGGCAGTATGTTCAGAAGAAGAGTGAGGAAAGTATGACAGAGAAACTAATCAATTTGTCAGAAACTGAACACCCAAATTAGAAATATTTCTTTATTTTTTAATATCAAATCAATTGTGAACTATAGCATCCTACATGGGAAATATATTTTACAAAGCCTGATTTTTATATATTTAAAAAAAAATATCAGTTAGATGAAGGTCCACAAAATGTAAAGCAATACATTTATTTATAGTGACAGTGATATGAAAGTAAAATGCAGGTCAAAGCAGGTAGTGCTAAAGATAATACAAGCTAGTTTGAGAGAAGACTTACAAGACAGTCTGACAAATACACAAAATCTCTGAGCTGAATGTCACAGCAAAGAACAGGTGTGATTAATGCCTGTGTGCAGAACCATCAACGTGCAGCTTAACACCATGCTTTATAGTGAACCTGTGAGGAAAAAATATGGGAGCTGCCATTGCAGACCTTTTTCATAGTACTTTAAAAGCAGACTCCAGGGATCTCATTTTTATTCTGGTTTCTCTACCAGGTAAGTTACTGACTTGGAACAAGATTAAAGGAGAACTATGGGGTTAGGGCTTTTCCCCATAGTTCTCCTAAGTGTAACGGGAGGACACAAACTAGTGTCCTCCCGTCACCCAAAGCTCAGTATACCGCGAGCTACAGCTCGCGGTATACTGAGATGCCGCAGCCGGAACGGATCCCGACAATTATGTCTGGATCCACCCAGCTGTGTGAGTGACAGCTGGCTCTGCCTATCTAGAGGCAGAGCCAGCTGTACCCGCCCCCTCCCGTTCCGCCAGTCAGCGCTATAGGATCGGACAGGGGAGGGGGGAATCCAGTCCCTCCCCTGTCACGGCTCTCTGCCGGCACAGTATCGAGAAGTGAGCGAGCGCCGGTATGTGTTCGCTCACTTCACCATCTACTGAGACGACCTGCGCCAGTTTCATTGTCACAGGTCGGCTCAGATTATGAGTCTGAGTGAAAATCACTCACCTCATAATTCTCCTTTAACAATATAGAAATCTAAAAAACGCCTGAATTGTTGTTCAGCATGCTTGTCCCCAGTCAACAGTTGGTGAAAAGTATACTTTGTAAAGGCCGCTCTGGAGCCAAAATCTTTACAAACCAAGGAACAAATGGGACCACCCATATTTTATCCTCACAAGTTTCCTCTAAGAGATTTGCTTTAAGGTTTCTTTATATTGCATCAATCCACAATTTTGAAATAGTACGATAATTTAGGCTTTGGCCATGGTTTCATACACATTAACTTGGCCAAAAAGACATTCTTAATAAAAAAAAAAATACAGATTACACATTTATGTGGTCGACAGCTCACCCTGCTACTTGAATTGGTTTCTCTTTGTACCTTTAGTCTGGTTGTGAGTGACTGTATAGATGGGCAAACTCAGCATGCTTTTAGGTGCATTCAGCTTGCATTTGAGATCAGGTTTAGATGCCTCCGAGGTGCTTTGTTTCTGCTCCTGAGCTGTTTCTGACCCTGCTTCTTCTAGCTGCTTGTATATAATAATAATTTGTATTGGGATAAATGCAGCACTGATATGAACAGATGCCTGTCTGCACAAGCCCATACTCAATATTTATCAACTAAAACCTGGGGGGGGTAACCGGCTGCTACTGGATGAACTGAATCCATGACCCCAAAAACAAAGACAGAAAATAAAAAAACACACAAAAAAAACTGCAAATGCTGCTGCACACTAGCATAGCACTAATCACTAAATGTGATGAACAATAAATGCAGCTGGCAGGAACGCCATCCTACACTGCGTTATTCTCAGGCAGACATAGACAGGTGCTGTAATAATGCCCATATAGATGAACTCTTAGGGTGACGGCTCACGGGCTGTTTTTCAGCCAGCATCTTTACTGCTCCAGACAATCTGTAAAATCAATTATCTGCTAAGCAGATAATCTGCTGACCATAAACTGCCCATATCTTATCAGAGAGGGGCTTTTTTTAGCTATGTGGAGGGAAAAGATATGTTGTTTTTAATCTGTTAGCTGCAGGAAGGTGTTGGTTTTCTCTCCAACACAAGTGCTGCTGAAAGCATTTTATCAGCTGCTCAAATTTTTTTTTAGCCTGTAAGGCAAACGTATCAGACTGGATGCCAGTAACCTAACTGCAGAGAATGATTTCCAATTCTTTGATGCTCATGTAGGGATGTAGAAATTAATAAAAATCACCCTTTCTGGGTTCAATTTCTTGTAGGGTACCGAACATCCACTTTTCTTGCAAAAGCTTCATATGTTGTGATACAGAATCCTTGTATGGCTTTATGGTGAAGGGAACCATAATCACCTCTATAGAATGATCTGTTATTAGATCTAGAATGTTCTGTTGTTAGATCATTCCATTAAACTCATGTCTATTTTAAAGTTTAAGGGTGGTCATACATAGCACAATAATAGCAAGGCAATGTGACCATTTCAAGCATCGCTTACCACCACTGGATTGTATAAAAGTGCAGCTGCAAACGCTTTTATGGAAACGATCAATATTCTTTAACATGTTAGAAAATCACTGTTACTGATATCAAATCTTTAGTTACAAAGAATGGGAACATTGTTCACCTTGCATCCACAACTAACATCAAAAAGGCAAATAGCCATTGTAGCAGGTCAGGGCAGTGCATAATGCTGTATGACCACTTACCTGACTTTGGAAAATACATGCGCAGTAAAATTCTAGTTTTAAGAAATAGCAAATAAACAATAATATACACAGGTTTAAAAAGTTAAAAAGAGATGGATTACAGGTGCCGTCTCATTCTACTACTACCAAGATAAAAGAAAGTTCACCCTTTATAATAGTCATAATAATTGATTACACCCTGTACTATAGCAGCAGCTGGAGAGCTCAACTTTTGGGCACCAATATATTTGATTTGATGTCATGACAAGGGTTGAGATTTTATATTAGGAATGCACAGATACCAGTGCCGATACTTGGTATTTTCACGAGATCTACCAGGGTTGCAGCTGTGACTGAGCCCTGGCGCTCCACCACCGCCCTGATTTCCTTAGTCTGCAGGGTTTTAGAAAATCTGAGGGTAATTGCTATGGAAAAAATTAAAAGAATACATTAAAACAGGGATGCCCAAATACCAGGAGCTCCGTAGCCCATGCTCCTAAAAAATGACAGCTGCCTCCGAACTTTTGAGTTTTTCTCTAGTCTAGTCTTGGAGCTGGAAAAGTATCAGTACTTGTACATGGTATCTGTGCATCCCTATTTTATATGTACAGATCAGACTTGTTTAGCAATAATACCAATGGCAATTATTTAAAACTAAACAGAGTATTCACATAATAATGAAAATGACATTACAAATTATAATTTTTTTACATTACAAATGACTTACCTGAGAGCAAAGCAGCATCACCAGCTCCACCACTGAGGTACTGGACTTCATACATACAAGTCCTAGGATAGGAACAGAAATTGAGATGTTTAGCATTTATTCTTCAGGACTATAAAAGAGATAACATATCTGCATATTTTCTTTGAAATATTACATACAATTTGAGTGGTAGCCCAAGGACCAAAGTTTCTATGGAAGCATTCTCAATCAAAGTCACCGATATAGTTTAGAACAAATAGGACTAGGTTAGCTTAAGAATTAATGTGTATTACATAATAAATTTGGAGAGACGTTGCTATTTATTGCATGTTTATAGAATGATGGAATAACTAGCATATATACTTTGCTTTATTTTTTCTTCCCTTTTTTGACATATGTTTGTCAAAAATGGAGGCAAGAGAAGGCGCAAAATAGAAAAGCAGCACAATGGTGTTGTGGTTAGCACATCTGCCTTGTAGTACTCAGTGTCCCCGGTACAAATCATGGTTAGGTCTACAAGGAGTTTGCATGTTCTCCCTGTGCTTACGTGGGTTTCCCCCGGGTACTTTGGTTTCCTCCCACACTCCAAAGACATGCTGGAAGGTTAATTGGCTCTTCTCTAAATTGTCCCTGTATGTATGCATGTGAGATGGGGACCTTAGATTGTAAGCTCCTTGAGGGCAAGGAGTGATGCAATGTAAAGTGCTGCGTAAATTGTCGGCGCTATATACTGTATATACCTGTTATAAACAAAAGAAACAAAAACTGCTGTTCTCTCTGCAAAGATTTGCTGCTCACAAATCCTTGATAATAACTAAATACAATGAAAAAATATTGACTATGATGGTCTTTTGCTGACTTTGTTCAGATCTACTTCAGACCCTGGATGAAGCAGCACTTTGTGCATATACAATACCAGCTCTCTATGCTGTCTAGGTATGTCTAGAGACAGCATAGAGAGCTGGTATTGTATTATTATTATTATACAGGATTTATATAGCGTCAATAGTTTGCACAGCGCTTTACAATATAAGGAAGACATTACAGTCACAATACAATTTAAGACAAGATGGTAAGGAGGGCCCTGCCCCTGAGGGCTTACAATCTAAAAGGGAGGGGCAAGTGATACATGAGGAGGTAGCTGTGCGGGGATGATTGTTTGAGAAAGTGATTGTTCAGTGGTTAGGATGAGGTGGGATAGGCTTCCCTGAAGAGTTGAGTTTTAAGGGATCACCTAAAGGCAGTCAGTGTGGGAGATAGACGGACAGGTTGGGGTAGAGAGTTCCATAGGATGGGAGACACTCTAGTGAAGTCCTGGAGGCGAGCATGGGAGGAGTTGATGACGGAGCTGGAAAGCAGGAGGTCTTGTGAAGAGCTCTCTATGCTGTCTCTAGACATACCTAGACAGCATCGAGAGCTGGCATTGTATATGTCACCTGTTTACAAACACATGACAGAAAAGGAATAGAGCATACTGTATTGTGCAAACCAAGCCTAAGGCTACAGTCACACTAGCACTCCTGTGTTTAGGTTGTTTTAACGCAGGAGGAATTATCTGGTAAGTATAAACAAACATTATGATTTTTAGATCACATTTTCCTGTGTTTAGATGTACCTGACTTTTTGGGGGTTTAGCTGCGTTTACATGTGTTTAGAATTTATCATCGGATTCTGCACACTGCATTCTGTTCTCACTTTCCCGTGTTGCTTTGTTTTACTTATGTTCTTTGTTAAATCTGTAAATGCAGGGGTATTACCAATATCTGAATGAGGTGCTGATCTAGTGGACTTTTTTATTACCACCAGTTAATATAAAATCTTTACACAGGAAAAAAAGAAAGTAAAGTGTTACAAAAAAACATTGTAAAATTTGCATGCAGTGAGAATTATTAGAGTGTGTCTGCTCTTTTGCAGCCAAATTGGAATTAAATTTGTTACGTTCCATGTTCCCATTCAGATAGCATAAGATATTTAAAGATTGCTGCTTACCTTTTCATTTGCTTAAAATTCCTACCTAGCTTTCCCCTTCTATGTAATGTTAAGGGACACATGTCCTTTTACATTTGATTCCCCATAGATCTACTTGGGGTGCGGTAATTTACCTTTTTGGAGGAAAAAACTGTACGGACACGCATGTCACAGCGGTGACATCTGCTCCGTAATGCTGTGATCAGGAGTAGATGCGTGCACGGATACTCTCCTGATAAGCCTGTGTAAAGGGGCCAAAGGGTTGAAAATCTCAGGGCATTGGTGGTACACTGTATGCTATTAAACTTTCCTCAGTTTGTCCTAACTGCCCTGGCTAATTGTTCAGAATACATTGCAGTCCAAAAACCTGCTCCAATGAAAAAGCTAGAAAGGCAAGGTATATATTTTTAAAATATTTTTGGTATGCTATGTGAAAGGGAACACAAAATCAGCACTTATTATACACATACAAGCTTCTATTGCTCAATATCTGCCATTATGACAGCTCAGCTGTATGATCATCTATGACATTCTCAGGCCAAAGATGTGGGATTCCAACAGGTTAGATAAAGCTACATGTTTACTAGTCTAACAAGCTGGAAAAGGTACTACAAAAGGTTTGCTTTTGGAAAAGTTATAAACAGAGGTTTATCATCATCTATGCATCAATTGCACAATTTGTATATTTTCAACTCAGTCATCACACCTAACCTCAATAGTAACTAAAGTATTTTTAAGGATTTTATCAACTATACAAGTGAATGTGATCACATTAATGTACACAATGTGTGTTAATGTATTAAAACTTTGTTTCTACATGTAGTTTGAAGTTATCTTTGTACACGGGAAGAATTTTTGAACTTCTTACCTCACTTTCGACTAAAAAAAATTGACTCTTAATTAATGATTGATAGTCAAAGCTCATTTGATCTGTGCTGCATAGGCAGAGAGCTGGGAGCACTAGTTTTGTAGTGATCGTAAGAAAGCAGTCCTCTTTTTTTTAACTGTGATTTGATAATGGTGACAAGTGTCATACTGACTTATAATTTTTTATGACAGGTCCACATTAAACTGCTACAGAGTTTGAGGAGACAATGAGCACCACATTGTATTGAGTATTTAAGAAGGGTCAATGTTCTGTGGACCCTATGTATGAATTATAATGGACATCTGTAAAACGTAAAAGTAAAATTCTATGGCTGTTGAATCCAGTAAAATGCAACTGAATTTAATATTAGGATGAACCAATAATTGTAATATTTGAACATTTCAGGAAGATCTGACAGAAGCATGTGTGCTTTTATTTAAGGAAACAAATAGGGGTGTAACAAAATGTATTCACTGACTGATGCAGATAAGTCCTATGATTTTGCTCTGGGTTTATTTTTCAGTAATTTATCATTTCTATTAACATTGCACATCCTTGTGCGTAATTTGATTAGTATCTGAATGATGCCACTTATGGTTAGTTCAAGCCTGTTGTGAGAAAAGCCGGTCTAAATTATTTGAAAAGATCTATGATGTGTATTGAATATAGATTTATAGAGGCTAAAGTGCTCAATCCGGGATTTTCGAATCCAGTAGGCCTGACACCCGTTAAACTTTCCTAAAATCTTTTTAAATTACCATATAGAAAGTGTATGTTCTTGGATATGGAGGTTAGTGTGAATTTATTAACATGGGCCATTTAAAAACAATCACGTAGAAAAGCAGAATAGTTTTATTCAATTTACAGTTGTTATTCTTGTTAAGCATGTTAAGATCAGGGACTTAAAATTGGATCAGCTACATATCTGAAGTAATCTTATAAAATACATTTACATTCTGTTCTATTCATTTGACTAAATAAATAAGAATGCTTTTATCACTTGTTCGATTGTTATGAAAAGTTTAATTTTAAACAGGTGACATTTGCCCACAGTAAAAATGTAATTGAGTATTTTTCAAGGTTTTACCATTTCTTCTATGTTGTAAAGTTGTTTTCATTTATATTTGAAAGCCATCAGGCTCATTATCATATACGATGACAGGACAGATAATAATATACCTATAAAATCCGGGCAAAGTGAAGGAGTTATGAAGCCAATGTGAATAAAATTACTACTGGTAGCCAATATTTAAGAAGATTTCTGTTGCTCTCAAAAGAATCAGGAATACCGTGATTCCTGAAGGCTTATGTACATGGACATATGAATGAGACGCCAGAAAAATGCAGCCATGCGCAGTTTGCTTTTAGGTGTTTACGGGCGAAAATAGACTGCTCCTGAGGCTTGCTTACTATTCATTTACTGTTTGTTCACATTGCATACCCACCAACTTGCATAGAGGGATACAATTGGTTTAAATGAACATACACCATTAAAAAAAAAAAAAAAGCTTTCTGATGCACTGCAAAAGAAACAAACATAAAAAGAGCACCTATATTTTAAACTTTTAAAAATAAATGTCTTGACCAATGTGTGGACACCACAAGCTGCTATTACTTTTACTATCCAAATACCTAAATGTTCAAGCTTTTAAAGCGACTGCAAGATTCTAAAATAGTGCATATTTGGTCAACCATATTATATCAACATTTGACATTTCCCTCATGCAGACAAATTACATGTAAAATAGCACAATGAAAAATGTGTATAATCAAACAAACCATAAGCTTGGAATATAAAAACATGTTTTTGTTTAATAGAGTGGAAAACCACCATCAGAAAATCTACAAAATTATTGAAAGCTATTATTGGATGCTATAGCAAAAACAATAAAAAATGTAAACAAAGTTATATTATATCCATTAAGAAAAGGAGCTATTAATACAAATATATTTGTATAAGTCATGAGCAGCGATATTTTACATTTGTGTCACGTTGCACTATGTTAGGCAAAAGAAGGAAATATACTCACAGTTGACAATTTTCTGATATTCTCTCAAACTTTTATTATATTCAGGGTTACCTGATTGTAATTAAAATGTAATCTACATAAACCAGTTGAATAAATATATGTGTACTGGCCTTTTAAGCTTGGAGGAGTGCTCCTTCTACTATAGGCTGTAGGTGGCTGTTCATAAATGTTTAAATACAATCCAAAATATTTACATATGCTCATAACGTGGAAATAT